ATCAATCTATCTTAAATCAAAACAAGAAAAGAGACCTGTCATTGAAGAAATTTTTTGTAAGTACTGCGTTTCCGAATTCAGCATTTCTTGTTTTTCTAAAGTTTTTATTGCATTTATCTCCTCCATTATTGGTTGAATATCACCATCACAGTTATCTGAAATAGAGCAATATTTTATAAAAAATATCTGTTTAGTTAATTACAGAAAATTAAAACGAAAGTATCAAAATTATAATACAAAACTAACCTAAAAAAGATACAACTTTATCTAATCGTTGTAATTTCTCCATGAAATTTTTATTTAATTCAGTTTTCACTTCAGTAAACTTGTCAATCATGATGGAAAGAAGTTTCCTCGATGAACTTTTTATCGGCTTCGACATAATTTTTAACCAAAAACACAAGTTCAAATTCGCAAAAACAACAAAATTCAATATTCTTGAATTGTCTAACGTAGTGTCAAACTGACAGTTCTATGTTGTTGCCATATGAAAACGGAAAAATAGGTGGTGTCACGTTTCGCTTGCCAAACTCTACGTTAAATATTTTTGATTTCTTGGCGCTCTTTCTGGTTATATTTTAATGTTACGCTACCACAATAAAGTTTACGCTGTTTTAAAACGCAATAATGTACACGTATGATGTGTCTAATAATAAAACGTCATAGATTCTATTGTATTCTTTATAACGTGACTTGTTCTTAACTGCTCATTAAAACTCAAATAACATGGCGCATTTTCAATCTTCATTTTTTATGCATAACCAGACCTACAAATCTATCATGGCCGAACGAACATTTAATTAAAATATACTACATATAGAATGTGTTTATGAATAATATATTCTACAGTCCCTTTAGGTCAACGATTCTACAATATTTGCAAAAACAAAAGTGACAGCGCAGACAAAGGAATATCGTTCTGCCTGCCGATACTTACCTATTAAATTATCTATGTATATTACAGATTAGATTTATGATTTTGCCAATTTTCTTGTTACCTACAATTTCATTCATCATTTTTTTTTTTGTCTTCATCTCCAGAGTCATCGAGGAATATTAATCAGATGCCCCATCTACAATCGAATCATGAGCCTCTTCTGCCACGAGAGAAACCGGCGCTTGTTAAACCTATCCCTGCTCCACCCATCAAACAAAAACCACGTAAGTCAAAATCTTATTTCTTTTTTAGAATATCTACTTATACGTAATAAAGGTCCTGGAGTGCGACCGGCTAACTCTCTAGCCATGATTCTACCCATAGGATACAAGATCTTATCGATATTATGGCGATATTGCGCTTAATTTTACTACTTTGACATGTAACATTAGTAACGACAAATAAATGATAAAGAAAAGATGATTAGGGATTAAATAGCAGTGCTACCAACTTAGTCATTTATCACTTATCCGTCAAAAAACATGCCAGAGTAGTAACATGAAACGAAAGAAAAGAATCAAGACTAGAGCCTAGTTAGACGGTCGCACCCCTGGGCATATTAAGTTAATAGGGGCCCCATTATGATATTGATCAGCGAAATTTGAACTTTATTTTTATGTCTTTACAGTAACACTTGACATTATGATGAATGTAGTCCACTTCATCCACAATTAGCACTTACTCATACCACTATGCTGGTTGAAGGGGTTTCTACATATTAATTTAGCAAAATCTTCAAAATGCATCTGCTTTCAGGCATATCGCATTCTAACGACGTTAGCGACACACTTATCCGATCTGTATTGATTTTAACCTGATTTTCAAGAGAGAGTCTAGTAGCTAACTTATATAATATTAAAACTTAGTAGAATTGGTATCGCTGGGCCATGGGCACGTGCCCGTTATGTCCAGTCGGTAAGACTAAAGTAGGATTATTCCTATAGGTACACTTATATATTTCGTTACTCTACAATAAAGAGAAACAGTGGCTAAAGGACTCGACAATATAAAAAAAGCAGGAAATTTCACTCCTTGACAGTGCACAGTAAAATATGACGTAAAGTTTACCGAGTCATCTTAGAATGGCTATCAAAAGGAAGAGTCACATGTCATTTAAATGTCTTTTTTATAAAATTCCAGCTCCGCCTTTACCGGTTACACATACGTCCCACGAACCGCAAGGTATGTTGACAAAATCAGAGTTTTTTTGTACACTTTGTACACAACAATCGAAATTTTTGAATAAAATTGTTTTGCCGTTTTAATTTTGAATCAAGCAACCATTGCATAGGTATCTAAAGTGATAATGGCTTTAGAAGAACCGGCCAGGTGCGAGTCGAACCCACGCACGAAGGGTTCCGTACCGAAAACGAGAAAAAAAAACATTTTTGCTGTATAAGCTTGGTTTTTACTATTTGTTGTTAGATCCTCAACAGAAATACATTATCTGTGAATATTTCAACTGTCTGACTTTCATGGTTCATGAGATATAGCGTGGTGACAGACAGACAGACGGCCAAGTCTTTGTCTTTGGGTAAGGAACCCTGAATGAAATAGAATGTCAAGACGATATTTCATTTTATTTTACTACTTTGAAATTTATGTAGTAGGTACTTACTTTATAAAGATAAACGAATCATAAAGAATGAATCGATACAAAAACAATGAGGAAGCATTTAAAAAAATGAAAGCACTAAAAAAGCACCTCCACGCCTCGACTCTGGCGAAAGTTGATTTTTGCGGGAAACGAATGGACACGAAAAGACAGTCATTTCCGTTCCTTTTAACTAACATATTAAAAAACATGAAATTTGAAAAGTTCGAAACTACAAATACAAATACGAAAAAGTACAAATAGAATATGAGTTGTTAACTGAGTTTTGAAAACTTATTTACTTTTAAACATGAAAGAAAATCGGGATGAATCAAGAACGTACCGTAGCGACATCTAGTTTGATTTCGGGCACTAAAGTTTTTTTTTTAAATACCTCATTGTGTTCGATACAAATTCTATAATTATTTGGTAAAGGTACCTCATTGTAAACGCACTATCCGATAGATTTAAGGGTAAATGCACATCTATAAAAATTGAACACACCGAAAGAGGAGAAAGAAACGAATTTCTGAATTCATCGTACGAAAACAAATGAACCATTGCGCGGTATCATGTAGGCGACGAATCGTCAAAAGCTAAACATTTAAGCTATTAATTTACAAGGTATATACCTAAAGGTAGATATTTCATTTCTTCCACCTCCATCGGCTTTGATAAATTTTGCGAGCACCATTATAATATGTTTTATTTTATACTTTCAGCTCCACAACTACCTGTTTCTAATTCACCTCCACAACCACAAGGCAAGTCCTACCCAATACTAAAAACAACTAATTTTAAAGAGACTATAGTTATTTTTAAAGTAATAATTTAAAAAAATCCCTTCTCTGGGGAAGATAGTACTTTTTTATTTTGTGACTATGATCAACGGCCCGATAGAAAGTAAAATACTCATACGCATACACTCAGTGCTATTACAAAAAAATATTTTGTTTTTCAGCAGAATTCAAAGACTATATGTAGTATAGAGTTAGTACGAAAGCACCTACCGTTTAAACGTGTATACCAAGGATTTCGAATATTTATAAACAATATATCTTGGTACTCAGCCTATTTGTCCCCACTACTAGGGCTCAAGTATTCCATATGGAATCGGATCAAATCGTATAGAGATAAATGGGCAATGACCCGCCACGCAGGCCCAGATTGACGGCTGTTAACCACTTCAGATTCATCCAGGACTAACGGCTTAACATGCCTTCCGAGGAAGTTCGAAATAATAAAACTTTGGTCACCCATCTTATGACCGGCCCTCGCGAATGTTGCTTAAAATTTTATATGCTTAACACGCCATCGAGCTCATCGTATATACATAGTATACATACATAGAACTTTTTGCATGCATTGCGTTCATAGACAAACTATAACGTTGTCATGTTTCTAAAGAAAATAATATAATACTTACTTTTTATTTCTAACTCAGTGTTTTATAACAAAATTTACTATTACTCACTATGTTACGATACAAAATAGATTTATTTTTATACTAGGTATAATAGGGATGATGACTGGGTAAAAAAAATGCAATTTCATTTAGTCCGTCAGTCAGATAATAGAAAAATATTAGATACGTATTTTTTTAACTTCAATTTAACAAGAAATAGCTTAGAAAACAGGCATTAAAGTTGAGGAGTGGGGGCTCGCTACGTCACAGTTTAGTAGAAAACGTACCCTAACGTGACGTCATGCGAAATTTTCAACTCAATGTAACGCCGTAATTTTATGATTACGAAAAAAAACAAAAAAAATACGTGTTTAATATTTTTTAACACTCTACCTGACGGAGAAACAAACAAAAATTAGTCATCTTCCCTATTAGTATTGCATTGTCGGAAAAAAAAAAAGATTCATCAGATCAAAGATATTATTGGTCATCAAAACAATGCTATGAACTTAATCACCTTCTTTTCCAGAATCAGTATACGAAGCATACGGTGAAGAGGAAATATATAACGAAGAATGGGATTTTGAAACATTACCTCAATATAATTTATACTCACTTTAAAAAAAGTGCATTTTAAAGCATATTATAAATAAACAGATCTCTATCAACAGCAAATTGATAGACGTCGAAACGACAAATAAGCCTATGTCATGATTGTGTCCTATATAAAGGCCAATGTAGTATTATGATCAACTTTGACTGCTTGATGGTAAACGCACGCTTTAATTATAATAAAAGACATGCAGTAAAAAACATTTATTTTATTTAGTGTAACATTTATTTTATAACAATAAATTATTGACTAATGTTTGTTTCTAACAAAATAATAAGTGAAAAACAAAAACAGTGACAGATAATAACAATTACGACGTAAGATACACAGTTGCACATACGTCCATTAAATTTTTTTTTTGTTTTTTTTATTTACTAGCTGACCCGGTGAACATCATACCGCCATATATCTCTTTCTTTTAATAAAATATATCTTTTTATAAATTTTCTTTATACAATCCTTGTCCAAATAATACTTTTAAATTTTCTACAAATCGTTAGGAAGTTATGCGCGTACATACATTTTGGCGATTCATTTTTATACAAATACAAAATGTCAAATTAAAAACATTCCTTAGAGCTTTAAGTCGTTATTAAAGCTTAATGGACGTTTGTGAATCTGGTGGTTAGTTGCACAAACGCCCATGAAGATTTAATGACGCCTCTAAGCTCTAATGAATGTCAACATTATATGGGTAATGTCGCTTTAAACTAATGTCTTTTTTAATGGACGTTTGTGCAACTGACTGTGGGTGTCCGATCTTTAAGCCAAATAAAACAATGAAAAAATATATTTCTCTCACAACAGGAGTTAGAATCGAATTAGCATCGAGCATCAAAAATTGTATTTCACAGCGCCATCTATATACGCAGCAACAATAATTTTCTATTGCAAAGGGTTTGTTCATTTGCGTTAGATAAGATTACGATTCAATACAAACTCAATCCATCTTATTATAAAAAGAAGACTAAAGTAATTGGCTCAAACCATTGACAGCGTTGACAAGGACAAAAGAGCAAACCTCAAATTGAGACGTGTCGACTTATTTTGGTCGTATAATGATTTAAACTTGGTACTAAAGCAAATCCCAGTTTTCATAACAGTTAAGACTTTCGTATTAGAAGCATATTTACATTGATTAATAGAGATTGATAGAAGGGAAGAATGCTATGACTCATGCCATAGGACCATTATTATTAGTATGCTAGTAACGACCAACTTCAAACTTATTAATTTTATTTTTTGCATTGAAAACACTCCGGAAGTACTCGACCAGTTTTAAAAACTCTTTCATTTAATGATGACATAGGCTACAAATTACGCGGGAAGACAGCTAGTTATTTCTTTTCCTGAAACACTTCGTAGGGGGCCGTCCATTAATCAAGTGATGATTTAATAACTTTTTTAATCCCCCCCCCCCCCCTCACCCTTGGTGATACATGGTGAGGTTTAAGATAGGGGCTTTTCCCTGAGCCCTGTTTTATTTCACACACTGTCTTATTGGCCTTCATTAGACTATGAAACCAATTTCCATTACAATATCAGAAATAACAATACAGATGTTTTTCGATTACTGATTAATAATGCCGGTTGCCGAGACAATTTCATTGACAAATCAATAAACAGTCTAAAAAAGAAAAATGGACGAAATTAAGTATCTAGTCCAGAGCAGACTCACCCGTTCACGAGCAAGACGCATGAGCCAGCCATTGCTTATCAACTTAATTTAGGGAACATACCGACCCAACCTACACGACACATATAGGCAGCCGTCTTCCCTACTCCTATATTTGCAGCTGTATGTGAACAAATCATGTGCTATAACTAGTAGAGTACAGTCTCGAAGAATAGCTTTTGTGATCTATACAATAGGCTCTATATTCATTTACTTCATATCCTCGTCGCGCAATTCCACTTTGTTTGTGTCCTTGATGACCTCGTCGATCCTGTGCAAGTCTTTGAGTGACATCTCACCGGTACCCCTCTCCATGGGTCTGGGCTGTGAAGGGTCTGGTTTCCATCCGAGGAAGTTTATCATCTGAAACGTGGCGGGAACACCGCGCGATTTCCTGTCCGGCACCTCCTGGGATAATAACATCTCGTGATTAGTAAAAATTGTTTAATCACCATCACAGGTATTCCATCTAATATAATCTAATTAGATTAGATTCCATCCTTAGGGGGAATAAGCCAAGCGGCCCTGGTGTGGAGTGGTGGGTGTTAACGATTTCGGATACAGGGACCAACGGCATAACGTGCCTTCCGAAGACACGGAAGAGCTCGAGATAATATATATTTTTTTAATTCCTCATTTCAACCCCTTTAAGCCTATTTTCCATGATAAAAAACTTTCCTATGACCTTCCGGTTCTATCTATCTATCTGTGTACCAAATTTCATTAAAATTAGTTAATTAGTGTAGGCGTGATAACGTCAGAGAAACACAGAGTTAAATTTAATATTAATATGGATTTAAAGAAATAAACGCACTCACCTTCCCATACATTTCGTCATAAATAGCGGCAGCGGCAAACTGTACATCTTTGTTTAAACGCAACGGTCTATTATATGCCGCGTTTCCTTCACCAAGTATCCTCACATCTCTCATCACTTCCCATGCACTAGGGTACCATATGGTAAGCGAATCTATGTCCACAGTTTGCAAGGTAAAACCACTCCTAGAAATGAGAAATAGTTCCATTAAAACTAGACTTACAATAAACTGAGACACCATGACCAAAATGTGCTAGAGCTTTCTAAAAATGGTTGCTAATTACAAAGGTCATTATTTTTTTGGACAATTGTCTGTAGTGACTGGCAACATTTTTTTTAAATAACTAAATTCATAAGTGTTTAATTTTTAAATTATTATACCTCTAATTATGTAAACAAAAAAAAATTACTGTCAAATCACATTGAACAAAAAGTGAAATTGAAATATCTTTTAAATAAAGGGACTTATAATTTTTTTTTTGTTTATGTTGGATTGATGTGGTCCTTGACAATTTGCTCTATCAGAAAAACCACATTATTACTCTGAACCCTGTTTTTAAAGCTTGATATTTCAATATGTTGAAGTACCACGGGTATACATCATTCAGTACTCAGTGCGGAGATCAGTGCTGGAACACCTTAATAATACGAGGCCTTTACCTACTTGGGTGTCAAAGCAATATATTATAATGTTTTTCCACTTTTTCTCATAACCTTTACTAAACCAATTATAAAGTTTTGCTAGCGATATTGAAAACCATTTTCAGATATAGATATCAAAGAGTGGTTGTGCACTACTGTTTGATATATGAAAACTGGTAATGTGGATATGATATTCCGTTCATCTCTTTTTGCCCTGAAGCCTTACGAGAGATGTGGGCGAATATAAGCTGTACGTTTTGAGATACATTATGTTTTTGTAGATTGGTGTTTTTTATTTAATTAGTTATGAGAAAACGGATGGACGCTTATAATATTGTAACACATATTGGTTTTGATATATCGAACTCGTGCCTAGTGATATTGTCTAATATTTGTTTCATTTACTCACGCCGTAAGCAGTCCTCCTATGTCCCTGATTCTCGTGAATGGGGACACATGGGAGAAAACTCCCCCTAATCGTTCCATTTCGGCCAACTGAAGCGATTGTCTCAGCTCCATAAGTGTGTCACCACCGAATACTGTCGCCATGAACACCTACAAGGAAATATTTAATAGAATGAGAGGCCCAAATGTCTAATTTTAAAATCTATCACAACCCCTTTCAATATATGAAGGATATTGTAACAATATTGGTACTAAATATACAAAACTATATTGATGGTCTAACACAGTGATTCTCAGACTCTTTGGTGATAGAGCACAATTTACTTCCTGAATAGTATGCCCTGTGATGAAACAAGACCTACTTTTATGTATATTTTATCAATAAATTAATGAATTAGAGGTACATTTACATGAGCATGCTAAACAAACTGCTGGTCTAACATTACTCACCCCGTCTGGTTTCAAGCACTTCATGATCTTGTCGAAACATCCTGGCAGGTCATTGACCCAGTGCAGTGACAGTGACGACACAAGCAGATCAATGGAGTTATCTGGAAACTGACAATGTAGATAAGGGAGTTTCTTTTATTTAATTAAATAGCTTAATCAATATATCAGGTTACCACAATACTTTCAAAGCATTAAAGTCTCAACTGTTTCTTTTTACTCAAGTAAAAAAAACTTCATAGTTTGGTTAAGTATGAAGGCTCCAATTTTTCATACTTAAACACCTTTGTCAGTCTACTGTATATATATTGACTGTTTACGTCCAGCCAACACAACCCTGTCCAAACACTTCTTAGGGTCTTCACAAAACTTTGTATAACCTAAAGTGCTGTTGACTGCACATAATAATATTGATCGATGCTATATGCATACCAAAACAAAAAAAAAAAGAGAAGAAAGAGACTAAAATGATTATACCCACATCTATATTTTCCTCATCCATAACCACTTTTTCCACTTTCACTCCATCTCCAACTATTGCCTTATCTAAATGGGTTTGTGAAGTATCACACAGGGTGACTTTCTCAACATTGTCAGGCAGGAAATGGCGAGATACGTAACCTCTACTTGCTCCTGTAAAATACAATTTGAACAGCTCAGTTCTTATCTATTTTTTAAAAACAATAATTACTGATATCTGCCATACAAAAAAAAAAGCTAACAAAGTAGAACTTTCAAAAACAAATAAGTGATACCTCAATTCTAAAATGTATTAAATATATGATCAAAAAGGACAATAAGTTTCTCTATTTAAAAATATGGTAACAAAAGTAGCCACTAAAATACTGCTTAAGTCAGTGAGATATTTTTGAAATTTGTGTATCTGTATTATTGGTTAGTATTATGTAATCTGTTTTTTCTGTTTAGATTCCCGAGAATGTAACTTTATTCTAGGACAGTGGTTCATAAATTTTTGTCTTTACAAACCCCTTTAAACAAATGTCTATCTTGAACACCAACTTGATTTAATATGTACTACAGTCGGCATTAGAATGATCGAAGTCCTCGAGTCGATAAAAAAAGTACAGTAGTCCAATTATAACAACAACTCTAAAACAGGTCTATACTAATAATATAAAGAGGAAAGATGTGATTGCATGTTTGCACCAAATAGGCTCCACAACTACAGAACAGAATTACAAAACTATATTCACAATCTGCATTTATCACACCCATATATTAATATAGATAATGTACAACTGTATGTTTTTCTTAAACAATAATTGTAGCATAAATTCATACCTTTTGTTCACAAATATCCTGAATTCTATACTACACGTAGAATATATTCCAAATATGATCTTAGACACAAAAACAGATTAAACCTACCATGTTCCCACCTAAAAATGCACTTATCTGGTCCGTCCATTAAAATATATAACAATAATATTAATAATAAATATATAATAACAATAATATTAAATATCTCGTTGGTCATGTCCATTAAAATATATAACAAACTACCAGATTCAATAAAGAATGAACTGTCACATAACTCTTTTATTAATAAATTAAAATGATTTCTAATTTGTAATAGCTATTACAGTCAGAATAAATATCTAGACAACAACATTAAAATATTTACTACATAAGAATGAGTAAATATTATGTTTGCAAATTAATAGAATAAAAATAATCGGACTATTCAATATAAAACTTTAATAGAGTTAAAATTTTAATACCAATAAATAATATAGTTTTAAATTAATAATTAAAATAATGAAAGTAATAAAGCAATTTCAGGGAAATAAAATATGTAGTATAAATGAATTATTTAATTAAAAATGCCTCAATAAATCAATTGTAGTTAAAAAAAATAATAATAATGTCAAATGACATAAATAAGCAAATTTAAAAGAAAGAAATTATATTTTAACAACAATATTAAATGAATTACAAATCAATCAAAAATTTTTATAGAAATCATATAAAATTTATAAAATTAGCTTGTTTTATTTATATTTTTGATAACATTATCTGACTATTAATTGAAGACATGAGTGGATAAAGGTGATATGTCGCATTTTTGGATTTTCGCTATTCTATGGATGAATGATGGTGTTATGTGCATACAAACAATTTTAAACCTTAAAACAACCGTGTTTCTGGCTATTTTAGAAGTTCACTACTTGATGAAGGTGTCATGTACACAATTTTTTTGTATTAATATTGGATGAATGTACTATGTGCACTTAACATTTTTATAAAAGCCAAAAAAGTTAAAAGTTTACTTTTCTACAATGGATGAAGGAGCTATGTTGACATGGTAGCGCACATTCAGTGGATGAAGGTGTTATGTGCTGCACATGTCACTTTCATTCATAAACCGGCCTCACCATTCCGTTCCGTTCATTCGCGAATTCGCGCTCTTTTGACAATCAGACGCGTGTGCCACCATTGTTGTCGTTATAGATTAATTATTGTGTTGTTAAATTGACATAAATAAGTCACAAAAACAATGGCAGGAGCTAAATTAAGAGTAAAGCAATTAGTGGAAGCTGCTATTAGCCGTAATTTGGATGAATCGGCTGTGAAGATTGTTTACGAAAATGATAACCTAAAAAATGATCGTCAAGGTGAGTCTTTTTAAACTTTATTTTTTAAATTTGTATTATTTCTTGACTTGTCACAATAATATTATCTCGTAAAGTTAATATTTATTTAAAATTTATTATATTTACGTATATATTATTATATTATATTATTTAATTTTTGTGCGTTATGTTCTTGAATGTTTGTTTGTGAATGTTATAAAATTAATCATATGTGCATAGGTATAAAATTAATATGTGTGATGTTGTAATGGACGCAAGATTTTTACAAAAGGCTTTGTGTGAAGGGTGGTTTGGCATGAGCTGATAACACGCTTGTCTTTGTTATGTACTTTTGCACTGAATGTAAAATATTTATTTGACAAATATTCTTTCTGCACATTTTTTTTTTTTGTTTTGCATGCATACTTTTTTCTTTGCTTATGGGCACGTTTTTGCTTCTAGATAAATGCAACACGGAGTTAGTGTCTCAGCAAGAGTGTGAATGCATTGAGCATGAACAAGACCTTGAACCCTCGATTTTTCAACTTTCTGTCAATCATGATTATATAAGTTCCAGAAATAATGAACCACATACATCCAGGGGAATACATCCAGTCACAGATCCAGATATAATAGAAGATTCACAATTTGAGCAAATTAATACATACAAACTTCCTTTGCGAAATAAAAAAATCAACACTTTTCCTGAGAATGCAACTTTTTCTGAAGAAAATTATGAAGATTTTTCTTTGGGAAGTGATGATGTCTTCATACCGGAAAGTTCACCAAACTCTTCCACTTCTCAAAGCTCTAGTGAGATCGATGTCAGAGTTTCTGCAAAAGACCTCGTAGTTGCTCATCCACCTACCAGTAGAATTCAGGAAAATCTGTTACATCACAAGAAAATGCTGAGAGTGCTAATGAACATGACTTTGACATTGCTCCATCTACCAGTGAGAACCAGGAAAATGGATAATCTCAAGAACGTGATATACCTAGAAAACGAAAAATATTTCCGCCTAGGGACAACAAATCAAAAAACCGATCTAGAAATGAAAGGACTTGGAAGAAAAAAGCTGCAGCCCTTGCAAGAGAGAAAGGAGAAGAGTATATATAGCATAAAAATAAAGTCATTCCAAAAAAATCTATACAAGAAGGAATTTTGTGTCACGAAAACTGTAGGCTTCAGTGCTCCACTCATTTTGCAATAGATGAAAGGCAGTCTATTTTAGAAAGTTATTACTTCTTAGATGTGAATAGCGAGAATGCTTTACTTTTTAACAGCATTGTAAGTAAGCCTGTTGAAAGACAACGCTGTAATGCCAAAACCCATAAATCGGCGTCGTACAAGTATTTTGTTAAATTTGCAGGGGTTACAAAGCAAGTTTGCAAGTTGGGATTGTGTCAGTTATACCAAATAAGTCGGAAAAAAGTAGATCTAGTAATAATGGCTATTAAAAGCGGTATTTCTGCTCCAAAACCGGACTGTAGAGGGAAGCACCAGAGTCGCCCTCACAAAATGGATGAAGACGTTGTGAACCGTTTTAAAGCACATATATCGAGCTTTCCCGCCGGACAGTCCCATACTCTCGTAGTAAAAATATGCACAAGTTATATCTTTCCCCTCTTTTAAATGTGACCAAGATGCATAGCCTATATCTGGAAATGTGTGATAAAGAAAATTTACCTGAGAAATACAACATTAAAAAGTCTACCTACAGCAAAATCTTTGTTACAGAATTTAATTTATCTTTTGGTTACCCAAAGAGTGATACTTGTGCAACTTGCGATGCTGGGGACTCAAATGAAGAACATAAAGCCAACTACTATGCAGCTGTAGAAGCAATGCAAGTCGATCGAAAAAACCTACATCAGGTGAGGATGTCCTCTACATTACAATAGATCTACAGCAAACAATGCCTTTGCCTAAATTGACTACATCCAAGGCATTCTATCTAAGACAAATCTGGTTCTATAATTTAGGTATTCACGTCATAGATGGAACATCTAAAGAAAAGGCTGTATGTTGTACATGGACTGAAGATGTAGCGGACCGTGGAAGTTCCGAAGTGGCAAGTGCACTCTTGAGGTTCGTGGAGGTAGATGCAAGTTGCCAAGGCAAAGATCATTTGATTATTTGGTCAGATTCATGTGCCGGACAGAACAAAAATTTTAATTTAATATGTCTTTACCAATACATAATCTTAAAAGGATATTTTAAAATCATAGACCACAAATTTCCCGAAGTGGGACATTCGTATTTGGATTCGGACCGAGATTTTGGGAGGATCGAAAAAGTGCTTCGGAAAAATGATACAATCTATGCACCTGAACAATATCGAAGCATTATTATCAAAGCTTCACGAAACAATATAGTTATTGATATGACGGACCATTTCAGAAAAATAAACGATTTGCAAGAGAATTTAAATCTGATTAACAGGAAAAAAAATACAAATAATGGTAAAATTAGCTTTAGAGATGGCGTGAAATGGATCAGAGTTGATGAATACGGTATTTATACAAAGAATCATAAGACGAAATGACACCGTTCCAGAAGGTTGACATTTTTAAAAAAAGAGGCCAAGTTGATCCGAATTTTGAGGTGTCACGCGTGGATGGAAAATATGGTACTGTCTCGATTGAAAAAAAAAAGCTAATATTAAGGATCAATTAAAATTTGTTAAACCGGAATATCGATATTATTATGAGTCCATTCTCGAGAAGAATAATCGTTTTTTGTTTTTTTTTTCTAAGTCTTTATGTAACTTGTCTCCTTAAGACTTAGATTTATTAAAATTTTCTTTGCGGAAGAAGGAGTTATGTTCAGTTTTTTTTTAAATTAAGTACTAAAATACATTTTATATTCTTTAATTTCCCTCCTAATATTAAAATATGAAACGGTTGGCACCGCCAGACTCCTTTATTAGATGAAAAATCTTAAAGCATTTTGAAATATCCTAAAATGTTCATGCATAACTTTGAACTCCATTTTCTCGAAATTAGAATTTTGTGACATATCACCTTCATTCACTCATGTCTTCAATTATAACTATTAAACTTACCATTTTTTTTTTTATATAATATAATTATATAATATAATATTAAATTAAAAACAAATCAATCAATCAATTTCATACAAATAATAATATTGCAAAATAATATGAAATTTATAAACTTGTTGTTATTAAATTATGTGTATATTATATTATTAATGAAATTATGTGACTGTTATTAATAATTTATTAACTTATCATTTTATATTTTTGTCTTTGATGCTGTAGAATTATGATAATTACTAAATTGCCAGACCATTTATTTTATTTTTGATATGAAGTCCTCCTCTCTCAAAGAATTGCTGTGCCTAACAGGGTCCATAGTTTGATTCTGATATTACTATTTTATAACATCTATGTAACACTATGGTTTGCAATAAACATTTGAGTATTGAGTACCTTTTTGAAATAAAATACATTTTCTTACCCAATTCCACAGCATTTCTAAATGTCCTCTTTATATCAAAAACTCTATCAGCAGTTCTCCATCCAACCTCTTCCTTTATATATTCAACCAAATGGTAATCGTCATTCTGGGCTGACCGTTCTCTTTGTAATAACTTCGCTTTCCTATCAAATATATTCATAGTTCTGTACACTGAGCTAGCTGTCTTAACTTTTGTAGACTCGTTTCTTATAATGTAGTATACATTTGATGGATTCGATTCAAAAAGCAAGTTCCTGAGATGTAAATATTTTAACTGTTGATAAAGTTTGGTTTGCGCCATATTTCGATAGTATTTTTACTGATCACTTTAAAATCACAATGAAAATGTTAATTCATGTTTGTTTTAATTTCCATGCCTTTGTTCAAAATCAAATATTATATTAATATTTCGTAATTTGAAATTGAAGTCAAATTTATCAACAAATCTACAGGTTATGCCAAAGAGTAGTATAAATATAGGGAAAGGTTTTTTTTTTTTTTTTCCTCATAATATGGCAGGCACGGCTTGTGCATTTTGCCAATGTCAAGTAAAAAATTTGGGAAACGAATAGGAAAGAAATCGGATAAGGAAGGATGGGATCAGGATATTGAGAATATTGAGTATGAGATATGATATGATACATTTATATATTGCTTGATCATAAGTATGTAATAGTGTAGCTATGTTAGTCGGAAATGGAACACGAAGGGATGTTAGGTCTTGCCAGAGGGAGGATCTTTGGAATTTAGGACAGGAGAAAATAATATGATTAACTGTTCCTTCATCTGATCCACAGTCACACCTAGGATCGTTGATTATATGGAGTTTAGCTAAAAGAGAAGGCGCAGAAGAATGACCAAGTCTCATACGTGTAATCATAGAAGTTTCTAGCTTGCCACACTTCATTAAGAAGAACCAAGGTTTCAAAGGAATATGATTTTGTATCTGAGCATAAAATTTAGCTTTTGTCAATTTACTGATTTCCCACATTTGCTCCCATTTCTCGCGTAATATTACTTTTGGAATTGCTAATAAATCTGAACAATAGTTTTGAAAAGGAAAAACATCTCCACATGATACTGCCTCTTTAGCAAGCCTATCAGCTATAATATTACCCTTTATACCAACATGAGCTGGAACCCAGGCAAATTCTACATGAACTTCGTTTTCAATACATTTTTGTATCATTTGTCTGATGTCAAAAATAACGGGAGAATAACATTTTAATTTAAACGGAAATTTTTCTAAAGACTGTAAAGCACTCTTTGAGTCTGAAAATATTATAACAGATTTAAGTTTCATGATTTTACTGTATTCTAAGGCTTTCAATATACCAAAACATTCTCCTGAATACACGGATGATTCTGGAGGGAGTTTTACTTTCTGAACTATTTTATACTGAGAATGATAAATACCGACTCCAACGCAGGTAGATGTCGAATGTTTGGAAGCATCACAAAATATGTGATGATAGTCATTGAATTTGCTGTCAATCGCGATTTCAAAGTTTAATTTAGCGTCTAAATCTGATTTTTCAACTATGTCATAATGAATATTAGGAAGAAAAATTAACGATTTAAAATCGACATTAAAAATAGGAAGGTAATTTGATACATAAGTAGGAGAAGAAAGGGAGATGAATTTCTTATAACTAACAATGAGACATGGTGGAGTTTTATGTGTCCAATAGCTTGAAGTAGAAAATAATTCATAAAGTGCCTTAATCTTAGAAAGAAGTGGATGATTTGAACACTGAATAGTACGAAAAAAGAATTTGTCACAAATATATTGCCGTCTTAATTGAAGGGGGGGTTCACAGCATTCTATTTGTAAAGCGTTTATTGGGCTCGACTTCATGGCTCCCAATATTATCCTCAGAGCTTTATGTTGAATTTTGTCTAGCTTCCTAAGGGCTGTAACATTACCTGGTTCTAGCAAAAATGTACCGTAATCTAAAACACTTCTAATAAGGGCGTTGTAAACCAACTTTAAACAATATGGATGAGCTCCCCACCAAACGCCTGAAAGGCATCTTATCATATTTAATAAGCGTTCACATTTATCAGCAACATATACACAATGGCGGGTGCCTGAAAGTTTCGAATCTAAAACTATGCCTAAAAATTTCGCGTGATCTTTAACGGGAATAGCAGCATTATCATACTTTAGGGAGATAGGAGGAAGTTTATTTTTACGAGTATATACTACGACAGCACTTTTAGAAGCAGACAGTTGTAACCCATTAGAATCCATCCAATATTTTAAATTAGATAAAGCAGATGTTAATTTAAGAAGCGAATCCTCAATGGAATGACTAATGTAATACAATAAAAGGTCATCGGCGTATTGAAGTATTTTGATATATTTATTTGAGCAAATATTATCTTCTAAATCGTATGTATAAACATTATACAGAATAGGACTAAGGACTGACCCCTGCGGAAGGCCTTTTGAAACAGTCCGAGAATAAATAATATTGTCGTAATATATTTCTATTTTGCGTTCTGTTAAAACGTTGAGAATAAAATTTATGAAATGGGAAGGTATACCTAAAGATAATAGTTTAATTTTGAGAATATCTAATAAGACATTATCATACGCAGAAGACAAGTCTACAAAAACAGCTGTCACCGAATCGTTATTAGAGAAAGCTATACGAATATCTGTAGTGAAGATAGCAATATTATCGAGTGTACTTCTACCTTTTCTAAAGCCATACTGAGTATTGGCTAAAATGCCTTTACTTTCTAGAAACCAATCTATACGGTTTTTGATTAAATGCTCCGCTAATTTGAGTAAAACCGAAGACATAGCAATGGGTCGATATGAAGAAGCTTCAGAAGGAATTTTATTTGGTTTTAAGATTGGCAACACTGTTTGACGTTTCCAAGATGAGGGGATATTACCTGAGATCATTGACGAGTTTATTAAATCTAAATAATATTGTAATGTGTTATTGCAAACGTTGGAAAGAAAAGCATATGGGATACCGTCGCTCCCAGGGGCAGAGTTTTTCGTATTTTGGATGATACCTTTTAATTCATATAAACTAAACGGAGCACTAATATCAGAGTCAGTTAAGGAAGAAGAGATGGAGATATTGTTCGAAACCCAGGGAGGAGCTAATTTATCTAAGAAAGGGTTTATTAGCTGTGGTGGTATCATTGATGAAGAGTTGTTATTGACAGCCGATTTGAATCTTTTAATGTTTTGCCAAACTAATGTTGGAGGAGTGTTAGGGGAGATAGAGGTACAGAACCTACGCCACCCTTCAAATTTTTTTTGTTTAAAAAGTTTTTTAGTTTTTGTTATCAACTCTGACATTTTATCATAATTAGATTCAGTCATATTTTGTTTATATATTTTCTCAGCAGCTTTTCTTTGTTTCACAGCTTCCGTACACTCATTGTCCCACCACGGAGGAGATGGAATTTTATTGGGGTAAACTTTTTTAGGGAAGACTTCATTAGCTGCATCTATAAAAAGATTACTCAAAGCTTCAGCTCTTTCAGGCTCAGAACTAGAGTTGATGTTAGGGAGCAAATATAATTTTGACTGAACTGAAGTTGTGAATTTTTCCCAGTCTTTACTGTCTTTATTTGGAAGCCTATGTTTGAGATGGGAGATTCGACAGGGGTTTGAAGGTTTAGAGAAAGGAAAAGTTATAATAATAGGATAATGATCACTACCATATGATGAAGAAAGTATCTGCCAAGAAAGAGAAGATGCAAGACTAGGAGAACATAATGACAGATCAACAGCACTTTTATTTTGATTTGGTTTTGTTACACGTGTAGCTTCACCAGTGTTTAAGATACAAATATTATGACAATCAATGATGTCTAATAATTCATCCCCATAATTGTTTGTATTAGAACTGCCCCACGATTGATGATGGCAATTGAAATCACCTAGTACTAGAAAAGGTTTGGGCAAATTATTTAGAATTAAACGAAGTTCATTTAAAGCAGGAATAGATGGATGGGAAATATATATAGACACAATGCATTTGTTAAAAACCCTAACAGCAATTATTGAAATATCTTTATGGTGAGAGGGCAGAGGAATAGGTGTGAAAGAAAGTGATTCTTTAATGAGTATGGCTACGCCTCCATAGCCATCTGGTCTATCTTCTCGTAAGGTAGTATATCCACTGACTTTAAAATTTAGATGACATTTAAGCCATGTCTCTGATAATACAAAAACAAAAGGATTATATTTATTCACAAGAAAAATTAACTCGCTTTTTTTACTTATTAAGCTTTGACAATTCCATTGCATAATATTAGCTTGATTGTCCATTTTGTAAGCCTTCGATCAAAGTTGAAATTAAAGAAACTGCGTTGGACGGTAAATGAAGGGCTGAAGAAGAATTTGTGTTAAAATGAGTAAGTAATGATATTAATAATTTAATTAAATCTGTGATGGATATCTGAGTTTTATTTTCATCTTGAAGTTTATTATTGAATACACACCCATCTGCAGGAATAGGACTATCGAATTCCTTTATAAGAGCCTTGTGAGCTTCAATATCATAACCCGGTGTTAGTCTAGGTGGAGTGCGAGGTTTAAGAAATACTGTCTTTTTATATGAAGAAGTAGGAGAATTACTTTTATGGTCTACATTTGATGTTGAATTTTTATATAAAGGAGTTTTAAAAGAATTAGTGGAGACAACATTGGAATATGATTTTGAAACTTTAGGAAAAGATTTTGATGCTTCTACATAGGATGTGCAATTATTTGCCATATAGACCTTAATTTCTTTTTGTCGAATATACTCTGGACAAGATTTGTTTGTAGCAAAATGGGATCCTTCACATAAGCAGCAAAAAACATTACTGTCTTCCTCTGTTTCACAAGAATCACCCGAATGATTTCCCCCACACTTAAAGCATCGGGGTTTAGACCTACACTGGTTTTTAGTATGGCCAAAGCGACAACAATAGTAACATTGTATTGTTGGATAAATGTACAGATCTACTGGCAAAGCATTGAAACACATGAAGACACGTTTGGGTAAAATTTGCCCATCGAAAGTAATTACAACTGATTGTGTGGGCTTCCATATAACCGAACCTCCTTGGGAAACTTTATAATTGATACGTCTTACTTTAATTATCTTGCCACATCCCATTGGGACAGTAATATTTTCGAGAACTTCTTCGGGTGTCCATTCTGAAGGGACACCTCGTACAAGACCCATTCTAGTGACATTGAAAGTAGGTATAAAAGCTTTCATTTTATTAATTTCTAGTTTTTTGTTAGTGATGAAAGAATTTGCAGACATATAATCAGAAAAAGCTAGTGAGACTTTATTGCGGCCAATAAGTTTTACACTACCGTTGACAATATTTTCAAATTGGTTATTTTTTAAAAACCTTCCAAAAGTAACAGGATGAATTGAAGTATTATCATGAAGGTCAGTTTGTATTTTTTGCACATGAACAGTAAATGGGGAAATATCATTTTTATTGTAAAGAACGCGGCCAATTGGTGTTGGTGTGACTGTGGGCTCTGTAGTAGCAGATGATGGAATAGAGACATTAAAATCTTTGTCAACTGATTGTGTCTTTTTTTTAGTTACATTTGAAGTAGACTCTTTTCTTGGTGAAAGATCAAAACAATTGCAATCATTTTTTGAGTCAGAACTATGATTACGGCGACGTTTTTTATTGCAGTGCTTACATACATGCACGCGACTCCGTTTGAGTGATCGTCCTGATAATGAACCGTCGGTTTCCATTCCAGATTCATTAGAAACGGTAACAAATAGTCCAGCCGGGGGAACATAGTCCCCCGGCGGTTCTATGTCCGGAGGCTCGTTCATAAAATAAAACGTAAAAACTTACCAATAAACTGCTATAATACACTACAAACTAATACTAAATAAATTTAAAAGTAACTAAGATGAAAATATACAAATCTGATCACCAATACTTAATAAAATTAAATTAAATTCTTTTCAAACTCGAAAAACGCGCCCACCAAGTTTTACGTTTCCCGCCTTTTTCTAGGGAAAGGTTATGCTATTGTACTTTTTTCTTTTTTTTATGTTTAACGGCCTCGGCTTTACTTTGGCTGTATGACTTTGTTCCTTTGCTTGTCTTGTCCTACATTGGCTGTATGACTTTGTTCCTTTGCCTGTCACATGAACGAAACTACTATAATACTACTATTTGGCCATACATTAGTCATACATTAGTCATAGGCCATACAGTAAATTATCATCCATAGGTCGTTTCTTGAGTTCACTGATTATAAAATAAAAACATCATTGAACAAGTCAGTTTTCAAAAATTTTACTGTATACATCACAAATTCATAGAGAATAGGCTATGCATTTGTATTTAGTAGGATAGATCATGTTCATAATAGCGATGGGTGATATTTGGTTAAAAAATCGAATTAGTCGATTATTCAGTTTTCTCAATTTTATGAGTCGAATGCAATCGATGTTATTATTATGTGCTTACTTTACCGACAAATTTTTAGCGAAACGCTATATTACTATAACCGTGCGTACTGGTTATGGTGCGGTGCGGCACGCTGCGTTGCTCTCAAATGCAGTTATTGTGTGATTGTCGCTAATAGCTTATTAAGTTGTCTGTTTAGTAGTCAAATATGCTATCACTATTATACTTGCGTGTCGACAGCGGACATCGAGCCAGAGGAATGTCAAATGTGGCCTATTATAATGACCCAACTATACTGATTTATTAAAAATGAGATACAAGTTAGCCCTGTAAACAATTTATTTTGCCTCTTATATTATATAATATAAGGGGGCTGATCTTCAAAGAATACTTGATCAAAACACTGTATAATTATACGATAAAAAAATGAGTAATTTCTTTAATATTGCCATTTTTCATAAGTTTCTTATTAAGGAAGGTAGCAAAACGTTTAATCTTACATGATTCTTGATAATACTCTAGAGTCTTGATACATTCGCAAACTGCAGTTTAATCATTTAAGACTATGAATATTCATGGATAAACCAAAATCTCAACGCTATTATATTGAAAAATAAAGATGAAGGAGATTTGATGATTCTACATTATCAATTTTTTGTTAAACACCATTCTTCCACCAACAAAAGAGATGATGACCGGGTAAAAAAAATATAAATTCTATTAGTCCGTCACTCAGATAATAGAAAATGAAGAATGTTAACTAATTTTTATTATTAGCACTCCATTTTGTCTGTCAAAAATAAAAAATACTAGTAAAAGAATTACTTCGATACATCAATTAGTTTCCGATTTAGAAGTAAAACAAGTTGTAACCGCACGACGTGGGCGGTGACGGTGTGACGTCATTGCACAACACGCTCAGCCTGGCTCACTTAGTCCACTCACAGTCGCGCACCCGTACCGTCGAAATTTTACCTAAATACTTTTAAAAATGTCCAATCCAAATACTAGGAAATCATTTGTTGTGCCTAAATGTAAAAATACAACTACTAATTCGCCGGATTTTTTTTTTATATAGACATCTTTATGATAAATAGACATATTTTTCATATATAAAATGTGAAAGAGAACACTGTATTTGAAGCTCTCTAAGTTTTAATGCTACTTTGTCAAAAAAAATATTTTCATTCTGATCGGCTGAATGAAGTGTTATACCAAATCTTTAGCTTTAATCATTTTCAGTGTGGTACCAACACCTTAGATTTTGGTTTACCTTAGCTTAGATTTTTTCCAATAACACTTGGTAGCACTCGTTGAAGGCTCCTCGCTTCGACGATGTATCCACATTAAAAATGCTACAGTTTGTTTACAGCCACCCCTGCTGGCGGCACAATCTTCGCAGGTTACATTTAATACTTCTTGATTCTTTTCATTGCATTCTAAACTGCAATGATAAGGTGTGGTACGTACGCAGTGTTCTGGCGTGATTCTATATTTAACCGTACATACATAACCAATAGCAACAAACAGCTATGGCGATGGCCATAGCTGTTTCTTGCCGATCTGAAATAAGTTTCAAATAAAATAAATAGCCTTAAGTATTTTGTTAGTAAAAAAATACTAATAAATAAAAAAGGTTTAGTACATCTGTTCAAACATCTACATTAGCAATAATAAATAATTTAATAAAATGGCCTTACATATTTTGTTAGTAAAAAAAAAAGTTTAGAACATCTGTAACGTTCAACCTAATTTATCTACATCCTAGGTACCTATCCTACTTCCTACTAATATAATAAATGCGAAAGTTTGTGTGTGTGTTTGTTTGTTATCTTTCACGCAAAAACTACTGAACAGATCCTGGACGAAGTCTGGGATAATCAATTCGAAAATTTAAATGCATATAAAATCAAAATTACTAGTTATTTTTGACTACAACAAAAACTAGTGTATTTGTATACATAAGGGCTTATAAGGGAATTTCAAGCGATTTGGCTTACCTAGTAACATTCTTCATTAATAGATACGTATTTTCTAGACTTTAATTTACCAAGAAATAGCTTAGATAACTTAACTCAATGTATCGCCGTAAAATAACGATAACACTCATTTAAGTTCACTTTCGTGGTCTCTAATGATTACGAAATACAAAGTAACAGTTTCTCGATAAAAAATTAAGTATCAAAATGGACTTCAGTGGAGATCATCGATATTGACATTTACCTATAGATTAACGTAGCAAATGCAGAGTGAGCTGATGAATAATTCTATAAATTTTGAGCTGCTTTTGATTTTAATTTGCAAATTGGATAAGGTATTTTATAGGATATTACAAAATGTGCTTAATTTAGTAGAAAATATGCTTTAGTAGTAACACTGTTAACCTTTAACCGGAATCGTGGGTAAATTTTCAGCCATCATTGGGTCCAATTGGATTCACGATTCCAGATACGGTACTTTTTTATGTGTATTATATATATTCTAAGAAAAACAATTAAGCTTCATATAAAAAAAAAATTGTAGCAAGTGCCTCAATGTGCCCAAATTAATAAATTCACGCTTTCGGAATAGGTTGTCATTATTTTTTATTCTCATTTGAGCTCACGAATTTATTTTAATATTAAAGGAAGATACGTAAAATCCTGTAGTTTTGTCAAATTTTTAAGTTTCTTGATTTATTATTGATTGATATGGTCAAAAAAGTAGACCAAAAAAATTACCAACCTGATATCTAGAGTTGAATTACATATTAGATAAAACATGTTCTGATATACTCACAACCCATCGTGGTAATTTTATCTACTTATATTAGAAAACTACTTGGATTTTATTAAAAGGTCCATTTGGACACACGATTGTAGTTATGTAGAACAATTTGTCGATCCCGGTTAAGGGTTAACCACAGACAAACCTTATCAAATACGTCAATCAACGTCAATTGATTAGAAAAAAATTAAAAACAAAGTTTGTAAAACCTGCGGTTGTAATGAGATTAAAAACTTAAATATCCGTCGCACATCATCGGGAGTACTTTACTGAGTAGTCATAAAGTTTTACTTTATTTGTTATCGCTAGGTTAATATTTAGTAAAGTAAGTAAAATAATTGATTCTAATTCTAACCTCATACAGATTACACACCATCATAATCTGTTTGAATGTTATCATTGATCTAAAGATAATTTAAGAGGCGTATTAAATAAACACAATACTAAACTTTTCTAACCAACCAAATTATTTAATGTGCGCGAAATAATGCATTTTCATGTTTTATTTTAGCTTTTTTGATCCACATATTGTTTTCCTTATCATAATGCTTAAAAGATGTTACAGAATAGGCATTTAAAACTTTATTTACAGATGTGGCCAATATTAATGCAATTTCTACGGACAAATGCTCCATATATAACCCTTCCCATAGCTGCAGTAGTTGGTATAATAGGATACAATTTAGAAGGGCTTTTATCAGACAGATATACACCTTATAACAGTAAGTGCTATTATAGTTATATTATAATATTAATAATCTACAGCTACAGCAGACTATAGTTAATCTGTTAATTACAATCATATTTAATATGCTATTTTTTGTATATATTTTTAATTTGTTAAAATCCCATCAGTCTTGTTGACAGATAGTATTAACATTGAACTACTTATGGTGCTATGTAGTTTCTTTGGTGATAAGAAGCAAATATTATGTAATGATATAGAAAACCTTTTTTTTACCCAACCCAAAATAAATGTTTTAATAAACCTAAATACAAAAAGATATTATTCTTTATGAAAAACACTTAAAAAAACACTGTCCCTGGTGCCCTTTTAAGCATTTTTCATTAAGAATATTTTCTAATCTACCATTGTGAATGCAGAATTTATCAAATATATCAATTACTTGATTACAGAGCCTGTCCAGGATCAAAGAGTTGAGAGGCAAATAGATGAAGAGCTCTTAAATGACCCTACACATGTAGAGAAGTTAAAATATAAAGAAAATGTTTTAGGAAAAAATGTAGCACCATCACTCCAGAAGAAAGACTAGTCATTGTGTTATTACCTTAAATTATAGTTATATATTTAAATAATATTAAAGAAAAGCTTATTTGGAATTTGATTTTAATCCTTTGAAAGTGAGATGCTTAAACATCAGTATCATTTACTTGTGTTATTATGAACGGCTACCTGCAAAAACTTGTGTATAAATCTATACATATAAATCTTCTGATAGAAGTACACGTTATGTTTAATTGCTTTGTTGTAGACAAACATGTGCCCATGCCGTCTTCAAGCTGTGTGTAATGGGACAATGCAAACTCCCTCGATACACAAAGAGCTATAAATTATGGAAACTACCCAGTGATTTGTTTTAAACTAATTCTAATTGTCTAAAAAGCATCACAGAATATAATATTAGAATTACGATTACTCACTATAGGTATAGAATAAAACATGGCCGTATAGATTTGTATTTATTTGCCTGCTCTACCTCCTATGGAGATTTATGGATTTCTAACAAAGTTTTCTAGACTTACAAAAATTTTAAATATAAGTGTGTTATTTAATGTAAATAAATATAATTTATAACAACAGTAAATGATGCATTATTGTACAAACATTATTTTATTTTGTTTGTAATTTTTATTATGGCAACAAATTTGTGTCATGTCACAATTAAAAAAAAAAGTTGTCGCTTGCTCGCTCGCTGTCATTAGCCGACAGAAAAAAACGATTGCGCTCCGCTTCTCTTTTGGAATTTATGGTACTGTAACAAGGCTCCCTTTTGTGTTACCGCATCATTTTGTTGTAAAATATCTACACAAAACTCATCAACAATGTGCGATTAGGGTTTATGTCTCTGTAAAACGTTGTTTACACGATTTTGGAAGCAAGCGACTGTGTTATATGGATCAATATCGAAGATATTGAAATGTGCGTATAGCGTCCACTTAGCGTCATCACCATACTGCAAATGGAGACGAAATCCGGAGTCGGCATTCAAGATCATTGGATGAAAAGTATGATGGAACCAGCCGGTAGCGACAAAGACAATCGTAATTCTGTTAAACGTGAAAAAATGGGGGAACCGTATAATGGCCCAGAAACCGTCACATATGAATTGAAACAACAGCAAAACGACGGCCGATATAGATGCGATGTTTGCGATCTGACATTTGAAGGTATGGAGTATTTGATGTTGCATAAAAAGTTTCATGGCAATGACAAAGAACCGCCGATAATAGAGCCGGAGCCGCCCGTGGTGAAAGAAGGCCCAAAGAAGCGACGAAAATTCAAATGTGATCAATGCGACGTCAAAGTAAACTCGCAGTACCATCTTGACATACATCGCAGCAAACATGAAGGTGCAGCTTCTAAAAAGTATATTTGCGAAGTATGCGATCGTAGTTTTGTTGCGGCGCAATTCTTGAAAAGCCATATGCAAACTCACTCTTCGGTGAGCACAATCAACTGTGAGATATGCAACAAAAGCTTTACAGGTCAAGCATATCTCAAACTTCACATGCAGCTTCACAATGATGTTAAAAAATTCAAGTGTTCAAAGTGTGACGAGATGTTTCCCACAAAGAATTGCCTTAAAATCCACATGAAAAAGCATACGAAAGTAAAAAACTTCAAGTGCGACTTCTGTCTTAAGTTGTTTGTGTCCAAAATAACTATGGAGAAACATCGGCAGACACATGAAGGGCAGCCTGTCGACTGCCAAGTGAAATGTCCACAATGTGACAGAACATTACATGCGACATTGCTGAGGACCCATGTTGCACGATCTCACCCTACTGTCCTGGATGATGATGTGAAGAGACCCCATAAATGCCAGACTTGTGGAAAAAGTTTCATTGTGAAAATCAATCTTAACCTGCATATAAGAGTGTGCCACCCTGATCTTGCTGAGCCCGAGGATGAAGATGAAGATGTTATGACGGATAACTCTTAGTTTATAACAAGCTACATATTCTCATGTATTATTATGAATAATTATACTTTTTTATGCTAACCAATAATTTGATATTTTATGAATACAAGCTTTTAGTTTACCCATTAATTAAGTACTCGTATTAAAAAACTAAATTTCTATTTTAATCAACATTTGTTAAGGCTTAGTTGAAGACAACAAATAAAGATTTTTATAAGTAACAATTAATGTTTGTTGTGGATGTAAGGTCACATTCATTTTGACTTTCCAATTCTTAAATTCTTAAATAATTCTAGCTGCTTATATAAGCCTTTTTGTGTATACTTGGTAGTTTTAGACATGAACTCCATATGCACTTGAAATTACAGTTTACATATATACATACATAATTGAAAATGCCATAGAATAGATCCACTTTATGTAATGGGTCTCTGAGTTGTAAAAGCTCGTAGTTCCACTTGTGCCCGTCAATCTAGCAGTGCCACCCTCTTAGATTATGAAATAAACTGTTGGACCCATCAAGGCCTTTATTTATCAATCTGTTAAGAAACTTGTAGCCAAGTTTCGGACGTGAGCGATTTTTTTTCGGCAGGCGTTACATATTTGCCATTGATCCATAATTATTCCGTTTTGGATTTTTTCGCATTACAGCAGTATTTATTTGCAAAAATATGAGAAGAATGTTAGATTATGGAGGCCATACGCTTAAAATACTTTTGGCTACTAACATGCATAGAGTGGTGAATTCGCGCAGTGTCTCAAAACTTCCGATGTTTTCTGAATTCATACGAAATGACTTGATGTATTAAAACAATGCTTCTTAGATGCTTTAGTTTATAAGATTTAGACACAAGGTGCTGCTAGACTTACGTCAGCCCAGGAGAGTCACGTTGTTTCTTAATTATCTCTACTAGCCATTTAATTATTTAATCTTTATTGCCAAATTAGAAAGACTGATAATTAAGGGATTAAATGACGAACTGGATCTTTTTTTTTATTTACTATCAACTTTAACTGACCATTGGTATGTAAAAAAATTATTGGTACGTATAGCTACGATAATTGGGTTTGGCAGTTTTATTCTCTGCCATTTATGTTTAACTAGCTTTCCGCCAGCGGCTTCGCCCGCGTGGTCTAGTATTATACGTTAAAATCTTTCTTTTGAATCACTCTATCTATGAAAAAAACCGCATCAAAATCCGTTACGTAGTTTTAAATATTTAAGCATACATAGGGATACAGGGACAGAGAAAGCTACTTTGTTTTATACTATGTAGTGATGTAGTGTGTTGTACCCCCTAGCACCAGTTCAGCGTCTCCCGCCTGCGTGCAGCATAATGCAGCAGCTGTGGTCGGGCAGCAGCCAGACAGGGCAAGCAGGGGCGCGACTGTTTAACAGTCTAACCTAACTCTAGCCATTGAATACAAAAACTTTGCGAGTTCTTTCGTTTTACTACTTTGACATGTACTTTAGTAACTAATGACCAGCATGCATTTGACAGCAGTGTTAAGTAGTACGTAGTCGTACTTCAACCGTTAGTATTTGAGTCATTTTGTAGCCGTGGGCTTTTCTGAGAAGTTAAAGGGCGAGGAAGGGTAATATAGAATGGCTGATATATAGGAACAGTCGCGTATCAGATTCAGTAAGAACACCCGCAAACGAGTAAAGAGTGACTGCGTGCATTATGTCTGATAAAATATCATATACTTTTATTATTATTTTTGTCATATTTGTATTGATAATATATTGAGATGTGTGTAGGTATTAATAGATATCATTTATTCCATTTCCAGCTTTCATGTAGCTAATAAATTCCACATAGTTTAAGATTAACATATATTGTTTTGTGTAGCGTTCACTTTAATTTGAATTTGATATTTCGGGTAATTAGGAAGGTGGACAAATGGGATCATTTGCAAAAATCCCGAAATCATCAAAAAACGTTCCAACATTAGATGATTGTTTGACATGCATTGAAATTACAATAGAAAAATCATACCTCATTATATCATTGAAGATTTATAATGAGGTATCCTTTTTCATAATCTGCAGTAGAAGATGTTAGAAAAAATGCACTTGGGTAAAACTGCCACCAAATATTCATAGTATGCTCCATTAATCATAATTAATAATCTAATTTAATGAGTCTAATCTAACGAGTGTTACTTAAGCGATTTGTGGCAAAACCCATTTGTTCTTCCTTCTCTGTTGACAATATTATCCTGGGTTCTCTGTATAGATACTTGAGATGTCTTCAGGTTATTGAATGTACGTAGGTAGGACCACCAAGTTGCGGGGCCAAAACAATGTAACTGTAGTATTAATAATTATATAAGATGAAAGTTTGCATTCACAATGCTATACTGAAAAATATTTTTAATGAAAAATGCTAAAAAATTTCACTTTGTCCCTGGCACTCTGACATGGGACTCGAACCCACGACTTTTCACAAGCGATTGGTCTAACTACAAGCTACCCAGAATCTAACAGGATTGCCAAAATTTCAAGCACTTGTTACATTTTTAATACTTTAATACTACTTTGACAATGTTTAGATAATCTACCCAAACAGAAAGATAAAAATTTGTTTTAATTACATTCGATCAATTTTGCATTCATAATGCTATACTGAAAAAAATATTTTTTAAGATATTTCAATAAGAATTAATAATTAATCAAATTGTTCCCAGTTACCCATCTTGTATCGGGTAAAAAGGATCGACAATGTATTTTATTTTCATAATATTATTAATTTATTTTGAACATTTTCGATATAAAATTATCCACCTTCCCCTAAAATAAGTAATCCTATTCGTGATGGTTTGCGAGTAAATACTTATTTGACGTTGGTCATTGGAATAGATCCGTCGCATAGCATACGAGATGGCATAAAGTGTTAAGAGAACAAATTAAAAAACACAATCCCTATTTATAAATAAATTTTTAATGCTTAAAATTTCACTCTTTCGTTTAGTTTTGTTTTTATTCCTTTTGGTCGCTTACAGGGTCGGTTCTTTCTTCATCTTTTGATTCATTGTTTTGTTCTTTCGACTCTTGAGCTTTTTCTAATTCAGCCGCAGCATCATCTTTCTGCAATTTAAGAAAATTAATAGGTATTTTTATTGTTCCAAAGGCTAAAAACCAAGACTCCTTGTCTGTTCGTTTATTTGTACGTCTGTCACAAGGCTATATCTCATGACCCGTGATAGTTGGATAGTTGAATTTTTCACAAATTATCTATATCGGTGTCCCTATAACAACAAATAATAAAAAAAAAACAGAATAAAATAAATATTTATGGAAGCTCCATACAAGAAACTTTTTTTATAAATAATAATAGTAAGAAATACCCAGACTGCAATATGGTATCACAACACCCAGACCCAGGAGCGTAGCTACAGCCGTATCAATGGTACGAGGCCCCCGGCCTCCAGGGAGGCTTCTGATCGTCGAAGCTTCGATCAATAATTCATCAATTCAATCAATTTGATCGAAGTGTGTAAGCAAACATTTTTGATACAGAGCCTCTCAAAAGCACTACTCTACTGCCCAGTCACGAGACAATATAGAAAAGTTAATTATAAAACAGCACTGTTACCCGTCTGTCTGTATAACAATTGTGTTTATTTTGGAAATGTATGGAGGTGGGAGGACATCACGCTAACGTAGATAAACAACTGTGGTTTCTAGCTCCCTCTCTGGATATTTTAATTGACACGTCTTTCGAGAGGAGAAATTATTTTTTATAACATCAAAATTTACCGAAGTGTATAATACTAAAACCTACGTGCTGCATCCAAAATGAACAATTAAAGTACGGTATTTAGTTTATGTTTAGTATAAGTCGCCATAAGGGAGTTAAAAATTAAAAGTAAAAGAAAAATTAAATGAGTCTAGGTTTGGACAGAGCAATCCCGTTTAGTATGTCAGCATGACAGAGGTTCATACGCGGTAGAGTCGAGGTCAAGAAACTTATTTAATAGAATCAGGCGTAAAGTCCATTACTATAACCGAGAAACTATGATACCTATGATATTTTCAACACCCCATCAGTATCTATAAGACTGTGATCTATAATCTACAAGACTGTGTACCGCGCGTTCATATATACAAACAGCAACAAATCCCGCAAAATCATCACTCTACACGTGTTTCGCCCCCCTACGGAGCATTATCTCAACGACTTGCAATGTCTACCTCACATATCAATGCTAACAGATATAATAATCTTAATGAAAAATGTTTAATAATCCACTTGGTCCCCGGCACACTGAGATGGGGTTCGAACCCATGACCTTTCGCATCCGGGCGACTGCTCTAACCACTAAGCTAGCCAGGATTACTTTTTCGCTACTACAGAGTGTATTCTCATTTTCGCGTAGTTCAGGCAATCCACCCAAACAGCCAAAAGAAATGTTCTTACAAATATTTAAACTTTCGATTTTACTTTCGAAAATTTGTTCTAATTATTATATTTGATCAAGCCCGCATTCACAATGCTATACTGAAAAATATTCTTAATGAAAAATGCTAAAAAAATCCACAAATATAATAGATATAATAATATTGGATTTCAGATAGATAGTATATTGGCAAAATAAGGGCAAAGAGGCTGTGATTCTATTGAGATGCAATTATTACGTAAAGATTAGCCGAATTTGTGTTCTAGACAATAGTTGAAACTATTGTCTGTTCTGTCAAGAACACTAAAAACCAATACTTACTGCCTTATTAATGTCGTCCTCCTTTTTCTTCTGTAACTCCTTGCTCACTTCTCTGATCATCTGTAGCTCTTCGATCTGTTTAGGCTTCAGATTGAACACGGATATTGGTACCGTGTTCACGTCGTCCAAGCAGGCTATGAACTGCTTATACTTTTTTTCTATTTCTTCAAACCTCTCCTTTTCTGTCTGCGCGTAAACGTATAATGATCGTCGGTCCCTATTTGAAAGAATACATAAACTATTATTAGCCTGTAATTAATAAAATTAGGTGTTCTATGGTTAGCGGCTCGGTCTATAATACGGTTCTCAAGCAACCTTCGCAAGGACTAATCGCAATTCGCAAGGATAGGTAAGCAAAAATTTATTATGTCGAGCTCCTTTGTGCTTCGACAGGCATGTTGAGCCGTTGGATCCGGCTGCATCTGCTGTCTGCTGGGCCCACGTGTTGGGTCATGGTCCATTATCCCCATTTGATTAGATTCGATTGCATCCATTAGGAAGGCCTAAGCCCCACCAGAGAGAACGTTAATAGGCAGGTGATGATGATAAAATATATTATAAACTTGAAACTGTAAATATATGTAACGTCATTTACACCGTAATTTTGACATTCTCAAGAGAATCAAAACAAGAGTACTTCCCGCTGATCTAAAACCTTAGAGAATTAAACCTAGAACTATGACATTAGGCAAGTAGCATCATTTTATTTCACAATACATAATTGATTTATAATGAAAATATAATTTTTATTTAATATTGGTATGGAACCTTGAGGATGCGAGACCGATTCGTTTCCTGGGCGTTTTTTCTGAAAGTTCCTTCTGAAAAAACCACAACCGCCCATAGCGGTTCAGATCGTCGTACGAGGATTCTGTACTATATCAAAATTTAAAAAAAGACTTCTTTTTTCATATGTTCGACGGCGATGTATACTTTTATGTGTATGTTCACTTAATTTTATCAAAATCTAATTTGTAGTTTTGTTTTTATAACAAAATAAAGTACAAAATATTTAGACGACTTGTTTATATCAGCGAAAAAATAAAAGATAGCGTATTTAACATTCATGCAAAGTCTGAAGAAGAAATTTCTATGTTCAACGGGTATGTATATTTTGTAAGGTTCTGTGAGAATTATGAACCAATTTCATTGAAACTAGCTGTTTTCTCGCGACTTCGCCTACGTAAATTATAGCCCATGTCCTGCATCCATTACTGTAGCACCTGCACGCAGCCCGCGTGTGATGTAGCATTCCACTAAAATTTCGATACTTCTTTCATTAAATCACTTTATTAATGTTTAAATTCGGTTTTATTTAAAAAATATCGTTATTTTTTCAAAAATAAGGCTCAATAGTCATTGGTCAGGGATTTTTAACTAATTTATTAGTTCTTGCAGCTAATTTGCTGTGATAGACGAATGGACATATAACATTAAAAATCGAATAAATATCTTTAAGTTTCTTAACTTAAAGATATTTATTCGATCAATTTAGGAATTGATCCAATTTACTTTGACGCATAAGTAGTATTTAAAAAAACTTACCACACGATATCTGTCATTTTATTATTATTTTAATTCACTGGCAAAGACAGTTCGTAACTGTATCGTTACAGACGTTAATGTCACAAATTGCTTACGCTTTAACATTGAAAAATAGTTGTTAGGGGTTGCCAACATTTTTAAATTATAACTTATTTGTAATTTACATTACGATGTCCTTATTCTAATAAAAGAAATACCTTGTCATAGTATTTTTATTTTACGTTTCCATTTAAATTCAATTCAGATATTTCTGCCCAAAGCGTAACCTATACTAATTCCTATACTAATTTTGTGCTTTAGTGACTCATTAAAAAAAGAACCTCTACCACCGTATCTTTAATCTACAAGGGACTCTTTAAGGGAGAAGTTTAAGGAAATAGACATAATGACTGTTGTTTCTCAATACATATACGAGAACTTAATATACGTTCGTAAAAATGTTATTTTGTTTTGTATAAAAACTGATGTACACAATTTTAATACAAGAAATAAAAATAAATTAACGGTGCCTTTCCCTAGACTGCAAAAAGTTAGTTACTCATTCAAGGGTCTTTGCTGGATAGGTTAGGTAGGATAGGTAGGTCATTATATATAAAAAATTATCTTGCTTCCATTATTATTAAATGATTATGTTATCATTATAAGACCATAGTTTTTTCTTTCTTTTTATTTATAATGTATTGATCTGGTAATGACATGGTTTCTGTGAATGTCATTACTCCTATTAGAGCTGGTGAGTTTCTTGCTCGTTCTTCTTATCAGCCAAAAGACGTCCTGAACGAGTTGTAGGGAAAAAATGTTGGAAGATTCAAAAGTACTTTTAAGAATTGAATAAATACTATTTGACTTTGATTCAAATAATATGAATATTAACTAATTCTGATATGAAATCATAGATCTATTAAGTATCACTCATATTGAGTTTTGTGGGCAGAAAACTGCGAAAGTATAATGTTTAAAATCATCATTAAGAATGATAATAAATTGAAAATGTTCAGGACACCTTAAACCTAAATACTTAGCATGTAATGAAAAAGTTGCGAACCACTGGCGACAGAGGTCGGATTAATTAATAAACATTAACGACGAAAAAACTATTTAGTCATTGTATTAAAGCAAATATATAATTTAAATTGGTGATCAGTAATAAACGGTTCTAATTTATTATTAATTTATTCGCATTTATGTTGATGTATATTCCAATGGTCAACAGTACTTTAAAGTAGGTTTAATGACAGGATGTAATAGTTTTTTTTTTTTTTTTTAATTGCCCTTAGATTCTTTTTAATGGTTGGTTGTTTTCCTGTGACTTTCTCTGCCCGCGTAGGTAAATTAGTCTATAACACCCGCACATGATGTATGTACCTTCGCGTAGTAGGTGATTTTTTTTTTAAATCGATCCAGTAGTTTCGAAGTTATCAATGGCAACAAACGAACAATAAAAAAAATCCTCTTTATAATGTTGGTACGAGGGCGGGATGATAAATAGCTAGCCTAGCATAGAAAAAACTTGAATTAGTGTGTTAAAAGTATATTTATTTTTCGATATAGTGTCCTTGCAGCGCTATGCATTTCATCCAGCTATGCTCTAAATCCTTGATGCCATCCCTGAAGTGGTTTTCTTCAAGCCCTTCAAAATAACTGTCCACGGCAGACATCACCTCGCTATTATTTTCAAATCTTTGTTCACTTAAAAAAAAATTGAGCTTAGGGAATAGATGAAAGTCAGTTGGTGCCAGATCAGGAGAATAAGCTGGGTGTGGTAGCAAATCATAATTTAATTCTTTGAATTTCGCCATCGCAGTGATGCACGTGTGAACGCGCGCATTATCCTGATGAAAGATTTTTTTTTTTTAGCCAGGCCGTGTCTTTTTTTACTAATACACACTTGTAATTTATCCAGTCAGCATAATATTCGCCATTTATGTTTTGTCCTTTTGGAAGGTAATCAATCATCAATATACCCTTCGAATCCCAAAATATTGACGCCATGACTTTCCCCGCTGATTTCACGGCTTTTGCTTTCTTTGGTGCCGGGGATCCTTTTCCGTCCATTGTTTAGACTGAATTTTTGATTCAGGCATATAATGGTGAACCCAAGTCTCGTCTGTAGTAACAAACCGTCGCAGAAAATCAGTTGTATCGCTCTTAAAGCGGTCCAAACATTCTTGTGAAATTTGCATACGAACGCATTTTGGTCAACTGTAAGCAATCGCTGCACCCACCTTGCGGATAATGTTTTCCATACATATGTCTTGTCTTTAGAGATGCCTACAGTATCAGCTATCTCGGAAAGTTTCAATCTTCGGTCAGCTAAAACTGCATCATGAATTTTGATCACAATTTCTGGAGCAGTGGCACTTTTTGGACGTCCTGGACGATGTCCATCTTGGGTGCTAGTACGGCCACGTTTAAATTCAGCCACCCATTTTTTATGGTTTATCACAGCTCGTAGCTCAATTTTATCCATTTTGCAGAAAAAACAAAAGAATGCTTTTTGAAATGTCAATATTTAAAAAAAACCTATACGATCGATTTGAAATTTATAACACTGGCAGCTAATGAACCAATGAGTAAAATACTAAGGAGATTTAATATCGTTATTATACAAAGATGGTTTGGGCTAGCTATTTATCATCCCGCCTACGTAGTCTATACACCACGTATATACGTTATTTGCATTGTTAAGGCGTTTATGACCATTTGTAGTTTATTTTAGTTTTCAAACATACAAACTATCATTAATTAAGTCATAAAAAATAATGGAAAATCTTTTTTGTTTTTTATATTTATTTTTGTGCTTTTTTTCTTTCTTAAATAAATATATAATAAGTATCTAAAATTATATAAAACATTAATTTTCTAAGCATCATTTAACGAAGATCCAAAATTTTGAAGTTCCTTTTCATAGACAAAAATGCTAGCGTGCAACGAAACGCAAATGCACCCCCGAGGCGAATGACTCACTCTCACCCCTAGCCGAGTGTTGCCGAACAAAGCCGACCACCCCGGCAGCCCGCGTACGGCCACGGAAAACATTTCCACACAGTCCGCAATAATTATATTATGTAACACTTTACAATTTTACATAGTAAAAAAAAATAAAAAGTAAAATGTTTATACATAACACGGTTTAATAATCAATCGCGCGCGAACGTTATGTTTAAAGTGATATAAATGTATTGTTAAGGACGGCAAATATTGATTTTCCTGTGACGTGTCCAAGAAACGTTGTATGCGGATTATACAGTGTTATTATTAGATGTGTAGTGTTATAACTTATTTAGTAAGTGCGCTTTTCGGCTCCTTGTCCATTATTACGCATAGAAAAAGAAAAAAAAAACAATTCAAAATTAGAACTCTTTAGATGCCACATTTAGAGAAAGACAACATGAAAACGGAAAGTATAAATAAATAGACTACACTAAAGCTTATTGGATTTCCAAAAATATGAGTACTACGTATTAATAGTGATTTTCTTTAATAAAAAATTACACGCGTTGGTCAATGGAACATGTTAATAATGGCGCCATATTATTTACCTCATATTTTAAATAACAGTATAAAAACCTAGGATCAAATATAAAAACGCTCTACTATCCCATTTTCTTTACTTCAAATCCGGAAATCCGTGATTTATTACAATCTTGTTATTACCTTATTTTCTATGCATCTGCAATAATGCTTACACTCTCCTTATATATTTTCAAGGTGAGAAAAGTTCAATAAATCTTATTTATTCAGAATAAAATTACTTATTAGAACGGAAAAATCCATTTCTTCTAATTCACAAGCATTCAAGTATACGTGTACATATTTTATATAATATTCTATTGTCAACAAATATGCACACTACGTATTTATTAGGTGAACATTTGTCTTTATTTATTGGAAAAAATGTATTGATCAAGCAATTTTTTTACCAGTTATCAGATCAGTTTAAGAACACGACAAAAGTTTTCATAAAAAACAAGTCAAGTCACGAAATCTTAGCATCAATTGAAGTAAAGATTTATTGATAGGTACTTTGAACCTTAATGATTTATAAAAAAGAATACTTTGCTAATGTGCAATAAATGTATATGCACTGTCTGTTCTTAATCTTTAATTAATAACAATTTATTATGATAAAAAGAGTCTCTAGTTGTCAGAAATATAATAAACTATCATAGTGTAATGTAGTTAACTTAAGATTGGCTTGTTTTAGAGACCTTCATTTATTGGCGCCCAACGTGTAACTAGAAGTCAATGTCAATAATTGCAAGATATTAATTGTGTAATGTGTTGTATCTATGAGGTTATGATTTAAAGGATAACGTGAACATTAGTTTTAAAGTTTAGATGACGTAAGAAATAAAGGGGAAAAGACAAATAGTCACTGCAGACATCGTAACGTCGATAAATGGATATTTTTTAATAAACTAATGAATAACTTTGGATCTTTTTACGTGACGACAGAATTAAAAGTCATTCAAGATTTGTTCTTCTTCATTTACTTTGTTAAGGTAGGTTTTAAACCATGCTCATATTTTATTTCTAGATGGAATGATTCCGTAGTCGAATAGATGTATGATGATAATATCAAAAACTCGTATTAAGAATAATGTTTACGATGGAATAAAAAAAAAACTAATCTTATATCTTACGGCAAATCACTTGCAGGGCAGACGAAAAAGTGGCTAGTAGGATTACTTCTCTCTTTTTTTATATTATAAGAAAGATAGCCTGGTAAAATCCTTTTTCACAACTTTCTATATTCTACCTTATCAACAAATAACTATGTACAATACATAGTTAATATATAAACAGTATACATTATCATATTGTTCCTTTTTAAAATGCTCAGTATGATGTTTTATTGATCCATTACTATTATTTGAAGCCTCTTTAGGAAAATGTGAGAATACGCGTCCCTTAGTGGCTGTGAAACTGTCACTTAACCTATTTTTATGCAATCCTGTTTGTCTCCCTAGGACTCAGTCTAGACTGGCATATTAATTGCATCCCGCACAAAATGATCTTTTACTTCTTTTCATTAAGTAGTCCTCTACTCTCTCAACTTCTCCTTAGCATCTCCTCTTTGGCTATAATATAGGGTCC